TCTGTGCCCGTCCCACGCACATCAGGGGTTGAAAACCGGCTACGTAGGGGCTGGGTCTAGTTGCGCATGCCCAGAGAGGGACCCAGGCCCTTGGGGGCGGGCTGTACCTGTTGGAATTGGAACCGTTCAGCTTTGTTGCCCAGAGCTGGGCCTCTGTGCCCGTCCCACACAGATCAGGGGTTGATAACCGGCTTTCTAGGGGCTGGTTCTAGCTGCGCATGCCCAGAGAGGGACCAAGGCCCTTGGGGGCGGGCTGTACCTGTTTGAATTGGAGCCGTTCAGCTTTGTTGACCAGAGCTGGGCCTCTGTGCCCGTCCCACGCAGATCAGGGGTTGAAAACCGGCTTTCTAGGGGCTGGTTCTAGCTGCGCATGCCTAGAGAGGGACCAAGGCCCCTGGGGGCGGGCTGTACCTGTTCGAATTGGAGCCGTTCAGCTTTGTTGCCCAGAGCTGGGCCTCTGTGCCCGTCCCACGCAGATCAGGGGTCGAAAACCCGCTTTCTAGGGGCTGGTTCTAGCTGCGCATGCCCAGAGAGGGACCCAGGCCCTTGGGGGCGGGCTGTACCTCTTGGAATTGGAGCTGTTCAGCTTTGTTGCCCTGAGCTTGGCCTCTGTGCCCGTACCATGCAGAACAGGGGTTGAAAACTGGCTTTCTAGGGGCTGGTTCTAGCTGCGCATGCCCAGAGAGGGACCCAGGCCCTTTGGGCGGGCTGTACCTGTTGGAATTGGAGCTGTTCAGGTTTGTTGCCCAGAGCTGGGCCTCTGTGCCCGTCCCACGCCACTATCATTGTCCTTACCATTATATTTCTCTAACAGTACGTTGTAATGAATACTTTCTCTTTGCCTACTGGCCATAGGTATATCCTCTTCAGGGAGTGTCTGCTCCTGTCATCTCCCCACATTTTGATGGGATTTTGCAATTATTAGTATTTTTTTTTCTTGAACTTTGTGATCTCGAGAATTAATCCCACTTGTTCATGGTGTGTGATCATTTTGCTACATTATCGGATTTGGGTCACTAAGATTTTATAGAGGATCTTAGTGTCATCATTTATTAGGTATATCAGTCTCTAATTTCTGTAATCATTACTTTTTTTTGTAATTTTTTGTTTTAGTCATGTCTCTGCTTCTAGTATTGGCTCTACAGAAGCTACTCAGAAACATTCTTATTTATTTCACTTTGGAAGAGCTCGAAGAGTATAGGTTGATTAAAAATTTGGTGGGACTCAGTAGTGAACCCATCTGGACCTGGACTTTTGCTTTATGAGTGACTTTTACGGTGCATTTTCTTTATTTATGATTGACCTGGTCAGGTTTTTCACATTCTCCTGTCTCAAATCTTGTGAGGTCGTCTGATTCTAAGAATTCATCTACTTCTGGGTTCTCCATCTCAGTGGTATTGTTGTTAATAGTAACTTCTTATGATTTTTTCTGAGTCTGTATCTGTGAGGTCTTTGTTGTAATTTCTCTTCTGTTTTCTCTGGGATGATTGATGGCTTTTCTATTATTATTATTATTATTATTATTTTCATTTGAGTCTAGCTATAGGTTTGTTAATCTTGTTTATTCTTTTGAAAAACTAGTTTCATTGACTCTTTGTGTTGTTTTCTTGATTGTTTTTTTTTAATTTTGGGGGAGGAGGGTCACACCTGGCGATGCTCAGGGGTTACTCCTGGCTCTGCACTCAGGAATTAATCCTAGTGGTGCTCAGGGCACCTTATGGGTTGCCAAGGATTGAACCTTGGTCAGCCGTGTGCAAGGTAAATGCCCTACCCATTTACTATTGCTCGTTTCCTTGATTTCTATACAGTTGATTTCTGCTATGATTTTTAATTTTTTTTGGGGGGGTGGGGGGGTCACACCCAGTGATGCACAGGGGTTACTCCTGGCTCATGCACTCAGGAATTACTCCTGGCAGTGCTCCGGGGACCATATGGGATGCTGGGAATCAATCCCGGGTCAGCCGTGTGCAAGGCAAATGCCCTACCCGCTGTGCTATTGCTCCAGCCCCTGCTATGATTTTTATTACTTCCTTTCATCTGCTTACATTTGGATTCATTTGTTGGTTCATTTTCTAGTTTCTCCAGCTCTAAGGCTAGTTTATTTATTTGAGCTTCTTTTTTCCTGATTAGAACCTGTATTGCTTGGTACTACTTTTGTTGAAAAATGTGGATAGTTTATGTCTTCATTCTCATTTGTTTTAAAGAATCTTTTCATTTCTTCTTTTACTGCCTCTTTGCTCCAATAGTTATTTAACAGTATATTGTTAGTGTTCTTTCCAATTTTTTTTATGATTAATTTCTTCCTTCATGACATTGCTATTTGGGAAGATAATTGATAGGGTTACCATTTTCATGACCTTATGTACACTCATATTGTGTCCTAGCATGAGATCTATCCTGAAGAATATTACTGTGCACTGGAGAAGGTATATTTGAATTGGGGAGGATGCAGGGTTCTGTACATACCTGGTTTTCCTAGTTCCTCCAATATGTGATTTAGTGTTCTTGTTTCCTTACTGAAATTCAGTCTAGCCAAACACTTGTGGTGTTAAAGTTTCCCACTACTTTTGTGCTTCCATTGGTGTATTTCGTCTGGTCTGTTAACAGTTGCTTTATAAACTTTGCTGCCCCTTTAATTTGGTATGCAGATGTTGATAAGATTTATATCCTCTTGATCTACTGATTGCTAAAAGAATATGTATTCCATATCTTTCATTACTTTCTTCAGTATCAGTGTTGTTTTGTCTGATGCAGCATTGCCATCACTGCTTTTTTAAGTCTACTGTTAGCCTGTTTGTTTTCCAGTCTTTCCCTCTGAGCCTGTGTTCTTCATAAGAATGCAAGTATATCTTTTATATGCAGCAAAAAGTTAAAATTGTTTGCTGATGAATCCAGCCATTCTATGAATATTCTGCAGAGACGCCAGTCTCCAAGTAATTTAAGGTACTGGTGCCTGGGCTGAGAACCCTGGTATTTTTTTTAGAGTCAGTGTGGGTAACTTCTCCCCACCCCTCCATGCTCTCAGAAGCCCCAGCAGTTCCACCTGCCACCCATTTCAGCTGCCTTGTTAAACTCTTTGGCCTAGACCATAGATCTGTAAATGTCTGTACTGCCCAGCTGTACCACACCTCCTAAAACAACAACTACAAAAAAGCTTAATGTTCACATAAATTTATTTTCCAGATCTATTGCTATTAATATTACAACTTTGTTATCTAATCAGTTTTAAGCTTGCCACTTTTTCTTTTTTTTTTTAATTTTTATTAGTGAAACACCATGAGGTACAGTTGTAGACTTATAAATTTTTGTGCTTGGGTTTCAATTATACAATGATCAAATACCCATCGCTCCACCAGTGCCCATTTTCCACCACCATGGATCCCAGTATCCCTCCCACCCCCCCCTCCCCCCCAATCCCACCCTGCCTCTGAGGCAGGGCATTCTCTTTTGTTCTCTCTCTCCTTTTGGGTGCTGTGGTTTGATTGCCACTTTTTCTACATTAAAAAATTAAATTTAAAGGGGCTGGAGAGATAGCACAGCGGGTAGGACGTTTGCCTTGCACGCGGCTGACCCGAGTTCGATTCCCAGCATCCCATATGGTCCCCTGAGCACCACCAGGAGTAATTTCTGAGTGCAAGAGCCAGGTGTAACCCCTGTGTATTGCCAATTGTGACCCGAAAAGCAAAAAAAAAAAAAATTTAAATTAAAAAAATCCTGGGGCTGGAGCAATAGCACAGCGGGTAGGGCGTTTGCCTTGCATGCGGCCAACCTGAGTTCGATTCCCAGCATCCCATATGGTCCCCTGAGCACCGCCAGGAGTAATTCCTGAGTGCAAAACCAGGAGTAACTCCTGAGCATTGCCAGGTGTGACCCAAAAAGCAAAAAAAAAAAAAAAAAATCCTTTCAATAAGCTCTACTACAGGGGTTATTCCTGACTCTGCACTCAGGAATTACTCCTGGTGGTGCTCAGAGGACCATATGGGATGCTGGGAATTGAACCTGGGTCAGCCACGTGCAAGGCAAACACCCTACCTGCTGTACTGCTGCTCACTCCAGCCCTGTTTCCTACTTTTTTTTGCTTTTTGGGTCTCACCCAGCGACGCACAGGGGTTACTCCTGGCTCTGAACTCAGGAGTCACCCCTGGCAGTGCTCCGGGGACCATATGGGATGTTGGGAATCGAACCCTGGTCAGGCGCGTGCAAGGCAAACGCCCTACCCGCTGTGCTATTGCTCCAGTCCCTGTTTCCTACATTTTTAAGCTTTGTACTTTTGGACAAATTTGGACAGATTTCTTCTGTACCTGAATAAAAGAGAAAGCGTGATCTGTGAAATAGAAGATAAATAATGGTAGTAGTTGCCTGCTTGAGTCAGTTAATTTTGTACATTGAATTAGAATATTTTTGAGCATAGATGATAAATGTCAAATAAGAAACATCAGTTTGCTATTCTTTTTCTGTGAAAATTATAATTGGTCACATTTGACTTCCTTGTAAAATTTTTAACTTCTTCTGGAAAGGCGGTGAAAACTTTTCTAATCTGTCATCTCTTCCACTTTCATATGATGGGTAAAGAGTACACTATGGAAGTTGTTTTTTAAAGAGCACTAGACTTTGAATGTTTGGGTTTTTATGTAAGCTTGCCATATGAGATCTTGAACATGTCGTGAAATCGTTTTGGCTGCTATCTGATCTTTCTGTGGAAACCTTGAAGAACCCTGAAGTTCTTATCACTAGAAACTATATTACATGATGACCTTTGGTTTTCTTATATACAGTTTTATTATGTTACAAATTTGGTTAGATTGCGTACAGTTAAAATGATATTTGTTTTGGGGCTGGAGAGATAGTGATGTAGGTTTGATCACTCCCAGGAGTGATCCCTCAGTTCAGAGCCAGGAGTAAACCCTGAGCACCACCAGGTGTAACCCCCCCACACACACACCCACTCCCCTACAAAAAAAAGAGAAATTACACTTGTTTGTTCTTTTTTCTTTTTTTAGAAATATACCATAAGTATGAATTTTGTAAGAGTATTTGAACAGCAATGTGGATCGCAGGCCAGTGTAAAAAGATTAAGAGTACATCCTGCCTATCAAAGCTTCAATAATAAATGGAACTTGCCTGTTTATTTTCAAATAAGGTTAGTAATTGTTCACCCTAGCTTCTACTCTTCTGAAGATTAAATGCTAATGAAAGAAGTCCTCACTTTACCTGTTCTTGATATAAAAACATGGAAAATCATGATTGCTAACATTCTATCTTTCATACCAAAATTGTAGTGTTATTTGTTTGTTTTTTAATTTAGAGAGCTCAAAACTTTAGACTTTCAATAAGCTCTACTACAAACCCAACTTCATTCACACTTTCTGTGTTGTCATTCTTCATGAAGAGATTGCAGTTCTTTCTTTCCATTTTTCATGTCTCATCACCTACCAGCTACACTGAACCAACCACTATGTATTGTTTTAGCTCATCTGTAACTTTTTTCTCTCATGGTTAGAGATAAGTATTTAAGCATTTATGTATTCTTTGCAGCTGATTCCATTGATCATTATAAAAATTCTAATAATTATTTAATGAATTCTCATAATTCACTTTGGCTTTCTTTTATGTGATATTGTTCTTTTGTCTGAAAATTGGTGGTGCTTTTCTCCCAGATAGCATGATGATATTACCTGTCAATAAATGTCTTTCTAAACCACTTGGTGGAATTTAGGATAAATCCTTAATAACATATTCCATTAGATTAATAGATGTCAGGGCCAGAGCTATAACATAGCGAGTAGGGTGCTTGCCTTGCACATTGTTAACCCAGTTTTGATTCCCCAGTATTCTGTGTGGTCCCCCAAGCACCGCCAGGATTAATTTTTGAGCTCAGAACTAGGAGTACCCCGAGTATTGCTGGGTGTTGCCTTCCCCACTCACCCCCCCCAAAAAAAGAGAGAAAAATAGATGTTAATAAACATTTTTGTAGCTACTCTTTCTTTTAATTTTTTTTATTTTATAAAGTAGTTCACAATATTTTATTACATTTAATACTCCAAACACCAATCCCACCATCATTATACCTTCACACCACCATATTTCGATGTTTCCATCCTGAACCCCAATCTCTGCCCCAAAGCAGAACCAAAATAATGTATTTTGTATTATTTGTTATGAAAAATTACTGAAAATACTACAAAAAAGGATTCTTAGAGGAAAGAGTGTGAAAATTGTTGTATTTCACCCAGGGGCCATTAAACCCTTTTATAAGAGCATGTTGTTAGAGGTTGAGCCTTGTCTGCAAAAAAAAAAAAAAAAAAAAAAAAAAAGAATATTTACCTCTAAGTTTGATTGCCTCCTACTTTGAACCCCATCAAATGTGGTGCAGTGCTCTTGGAGTATGGGTAGGGTAGGGTTTGTGGTATGAAATATTGCACAGCCATGCGGTCATGCAATCCAGGAATAGGTACACTACTGGGTGAGGCTGGGTCAAGCATGTGGAGATCAGTCATGACCATGGTGGCAGCTGAGTTCCGGAGATTTTCAGCTGCCGGGGCTCAGTCCCTTGGTGTGGGGAGGGATCTCACCCAACCCCCTCTGGGGCGCCCCAAGTGAAACAGTCTGGTGGTCTGATGAGGTCCAGTGGCATGGTTAGGTTGAGTATCATGTTGCTCCCTTCCAGGAGCAATGTAATCTGGATGGTGGCCGATGACAAAATTATCTGTCACCAACCAGAGGTGGCTTATGGGCATGACTGCTGAGTTGCCAGAGACAGCGGAATACGGGCAGAGGATATCCATTTCCTGGACCCGTTGAACCCAGAGTTCTCAGTCACAAAGTTCCACATACCTATTTTTTCCAGGGATTCACTCATGGGTAAGGCTCAGAGTAGCTACTCTTAAATGAAGTTATTCTTAAGTTTCCTCCACAGAATGACTTTAACTGTCTGAGGAAAAATGACAGAGAAGGAAATATACATAGAATAAGCTATATTGATTATAATTGCTTGCTCTATTTGATAATGCATGTAAACATTTTTTATAATGGACGTACAGTTATCAGAATGTTGATAAGGCTCCCTTTCACATACATGGTTGTTCTATACATAGTATTTCAAGAAGGAAAAAAAAAAGGGGAGCAGCTGTTCCTACAGAGCCAGCAGCATGACATCATAAAAGGAGTAGCAGATAACTGAAAGCCCCCAGCAGCAAGTTATTTACTTATTTTTTGTTGTTTTTTGGGTCACACCCAGCGATGCTCAGGGGTACTGGCTCATGCACTCAGGAATTACTCCTGGCACTGCTCGGGGGGACCATATGGGATGCTGGGAATCGAACCCAGGTCAACTGCGTACAAGGCAAATGCCCTACCCGTTGTGCTATCACTCCAGCCCAGCAAGTTGCTTACTTCTAATTGAATACCTTCAGTGATTTTTTTTAAGCTGCAAAGATACAGAGTACAATTTAGCTTACATTTCTTTGTTTAGAAACTTTTACCTGTGACCTTGTAGATTTGGGTTGCAGAAACTAGTCTTATGGCTTTGAGTAATTATATCACTATAGCCAGGAGAAACTTGCAAAAAACCTTTATAATGATAATAACTGATTCCCCGTCCCATTTCACCCATCCACCCCCCTCCACCCTCCCACACACACACACATACACACCCTTTCTCCACTGGTAACCACCAATATTACCAATATTCTCTGTATTCGAGTTTGGAATGTTGACTATGGGGTTTAGATGGGCACTTTGTTTCATTTGAAAACAAGATTGGTTGTAATTCAAATCAGCTGCACATAACAAATGTTTCTTAATCAGCAGTTGCTTAAAAAATATAAGATTATTTCTTGCTCTGTTAAAAAGAATAAGGGAGAGTGAAAATTGATTGGACTTAACAAAAATAAGTAGAGGAGTTTTCTCTCAGGAAGAAGGGAGAATGACTAAAGAAATATATTTGGCAGTCGTAAATACTAATTAGCACCTTTTTTTTCCCCCTCAGATTTAGAGAAATAGCAGGATCCTTAGAAGCAGCATTTACAGATGTATTAGAAGATGCTCCAGGTAAAGTTCTTGATTCATAGCTGACCAAGAAGTCCCTACATGAATTAAACTCACCAAGTCAAATCATCAATACCTTAATATTTTTAAAATACTTGTTACGGGGGCTGGAGCAATAGCACAGTGGGTAGGTGTTTGCCTTGCACGCAGCCGACCTGGGTTCAATTCCCAGCATCCTGTATGGTCCCCTGAGCACTGCCAGGAATAATTCCTGAATGCATAAGCCAGGAGCAACCCCTGTGCATCGCTGGGTATGACCCAAAAAGAACAAAAAAATACTTGTTATGGGGTGGAACAGTAGCACAGTGGGTAGGGCGTTTGCCTTGCACGGGGCCGATCTGGGTCGATTCCCAGCATCCCATATAGTCCACTGAGCACAGCCAGGAGTAATTCCTGAGTGCAGAGCCAGGAGTACTGTGCATTGCCAGGTGTGATCCAAAAAGGAAAAAAAAATAAAGTATATATTACCTTTTAGTGTTACATAATTAAATTAGAACTTAAAGTGGAATTTAGCTCTTCGGTTTATGGTACTTCTTATTCTATAGACTTGAGAAAAAGGATGCTTAAGAATATAGGGAATTGGGCCCAAGAGATAATTCAGTAGGTTCGAACCCATGTGTGGGTTTGATTCATGGCACTGCACATGGTCTTGGGAGTATTGTTAAGTGTGACCTCTGAGTGGTGAGTCGGAGTAGACCCCAAATCAAGAATACAGAAAGCTGACTTTATTTTCATTCCTAAATATTTCCACCAAGGGGTATGTTATAGGTTCCCAGGATGTGAGGGACCTTTTAATACTAAACTGGCTATGATCTCCTTTCCTCTGACTGAGTTTCAGGATTAGGCTGCCCCTTCTTTTGTAGAGAGATGGCATATAGCTGGGAGTCACGCCTTCAGAGCCTTATACTCAGCGGGTAATATGGTCAGTTTTAATACTGTCTAGTCCACCTCTGTGATGTATAGCTATGATAGCCATGTCTGAACCTCTAGGTTGATCCATCTTGATTTTTTTCTTTATAGCTAAGTCAACCTGAACTACACTAATTTAATCTCAAAATTAATCTGTCATCCATCTTTGTCAAAAATTGGCAAATTTAATTTGACTTCCTCAATATGAATAGTTATTCAGGTAAGGGAAGAATAAACAGGCAGCCATACAAAACAGAACAAACTTAATATAGGGTTTAAATCCCTTGAGACTGGTTCCCCCTCCAGTTCATGTTTATTGACTTAATACAAAGTACATACTAACAATTTGTTTTGTTTGGGGGCCACACTCAGCTGTGTTAAGGGCTTACTCCTGTCTGTGTGCTCTGGGTTCATTCCTGGTGGTGCCCCGGGGACAAAATCAACCAGGGTTAGCAGCACTCAAGGCAATTACCTAAGCTTCTATAATTTTTCTCGGTCTCAACAAATTATTTCTGAATCCTTCACTGTCTCTGTCACTGTCCTCCCATTGTTCATCGATTTGCTCGAGTGGGCCCAGTAACGTCTCCATTGGAGACTTTGTTGTTACTGTGTTTGGCATATCGAATACGTCACGGGGAGCTTGCCAGGCTCTGCCATGCGGGCGAGATACTCTCGGTAGCTTGCCGGGCTCTCCGAGAGGGGCGGAGGAATCGAACTCGGGTCGGCCATGTTGGCTGCATGCAAGGCAAATGCCCTACCGCTGTGCTATCGCTCCAGCCCTTCTGAATCCTTACATATTTAAATTTTATGAGCTATTTGGAGATGGAATCCTATAAAATTAGAAAATGCATTGCTTTGAGATGCCACAAGTTGCTGGATTATGGCCACTTGGCATAGTCTCTGCTAGCTGACTGTAGAGATTTCTTCAGAATGTTGCTGCACTTTTGACTGGAAAATGTTAGACCTTAGCCCTTACTTGAAATTCCTTTAATATATACATACATATATATTTTAATTATTTTATTTTGTTTTTAGCTGGAAGTTCCTATTGCCTTTTGGCTTCTCATAGAACATGGAACAGCCTTCAGAGGTGTTGGTCAGATGAACTATTCTTACCATTGCTTGCACATCGTCTCTGGAGACTCACACTACAAATTTTGGCTCGGTACTCTGTGTTTGTCCAGGAGGTGAGAGCTAGCTATCTAGTCATTCCATAGTTAAGAATGATAAGAAATTAATATACTTTATTCAAAATGTATTGAGATTCCTTGGTTAACAATGCTATTAAGAGGCCAGAGGAATAGTGCAGTAGGTAGTGCATTTGCCTTGCCTATTGCCAACCCAGGTTCAATCGCTGGCATTCCATATTGTCCTCTGAGCACTACCAAGAGTCATTCCTGAGTGCAGAGCCAGGAATAACCCCTGTGCCTCCCTGGGTGTGACACAAAGAGCAAAAAAAAAAAAAAGATGCTATTAATAATGTTTCCCATTATGTTGTCTTTGGGCTGGAGCGATAGCACAGCGGGTAGGGCATCTGCCTTGCACGCAGCCAATATGGCTGACCCGAGTTCGATTCCTCCGCCCCTCTCAGAGAGCCCGGCAAGCTACCGAGAGTATTCGATATGCCAGACACAGTAACAACAAAGTCTCCAATGGAGACGTTACTGGGCCTGCTCGAGCAAATCGATGATCAACGGGAGGGCCTCGAGCAAATGTTGTCTTTGGACCTTTGTTATTACTTAACTGTGTATTCTTAAGTCCCACATATGAGAATGCTCATTCTGTATCTATGGGTTTCCTACTGGCTGACTTTACTCAGCATGATATCCTCTAGTTCCATCACTGCATGATTTTGCTCTTTCTTAGCTACATACTAGTCTATTTTGTCACAGCTTCTTGATCTGTTTGTCTGTACTTGGGCATTTGGGTTGTTTCCATGTCTTTGCTATCGTACTAAGTGCAGCAGTGAACATGGTTCTGCATATATCCTTCCAAATGAATGATTTTGTGTTTTGGGATAGATGCCAAGAAGTGGTATTGCTGGATTGTATAGGAGTTCTGTTCCTATTTTTGGATACATTTCCATATTGTTTTTCATAAAGTTTGAACCAGACAACACTCCCACCAACAATGGATGAGAATTCCTTTCTTATCTTGATCTTAATAGATCTTAACACTCACAAAACTCAAAACAACCAAAAATTCAATTACCCATTGCATTAATAGGACATAGAAACGAGCATATACTTCCCCCAAAGAATTTTTGCACTGACAGTGGAGGGTGGGAGGAGGGAAATGGGGAACACTGATGATGGGAAGGGATGAGTGTTGAAACTGGTGAAGGGATGAGTGTTGAAACATTGTATGATCAAAATCCAATCATGTACAGCTTTGTAACTATCTCATGGTAATTTAATAAATTAAAAAAAAATTTAAGAGAGTTCTTGCACTGAGGCTTTCAGAGGCCATGTTATAAGAGGTTAACTTGAAAGACAGTACTTCTCAGTTCTGTAACTGCTACTGTGAGGTTTTTTTCCTTCTGCAGTTGTTAACTGAAGGGCCTTTGTTATTACATACTCATTGTTCTGTCTTATTAAAAAGCACTACATTGACATATTTACTTTCTCATCTCAAAATCAGAATTTATGATGTATTTCCAAATTAAGCAAAGAAACTTTGAAATTATTATAACTAAGTAAATGGATAATTTAGCAGTATTTAGGATTTTTTTTTAAATCATGATATTTGAGATTAAGCAGGTAGCAAAATTTGTTATCTTTTTCTTCATTTAAGAATACTTAAGGGGCTGGCTGGAGCAATAGCACAGTGGGTAGGGCGTTTGTCTTGTACGCGGCCGACCTGAGTTCAATTCCCAGCATCCCATATGGTCCCCTGAGCACCGCCAGGAGTAATTCCTGAGTGCAGAGCCAGGAATAACCCCTGTGCATTGCCGGGTGTGACCCAAAAAGAAAAGAAAAAAAAAGAATACTTAAAAGAAAAATACACTACTTTTTAGGAGCCAGATTGATAGAACAGCAGGTTCGGCTCTTGCCTTGCATATGAAGGAACCAGGTTCTACCTTATCACCTCATGTGATCCCCTAAACACTGCCTGATTTTTTTGGAAAGTTATAAACAAAGCCCATAGAAGCTTTGGGATAGTTGGGTACTCAGCAGATCTGAAGATGCCCTTTATTCATGGTAAACACTCTCAAGTGACAGAAAGATTGGTTATTACAGGGTCATGAATGGAAACTTGTTTATATTCTAAGGAAAGACAACATGAAAAAATATTCATTGGAAAACATTTTGAAATTTATTAACTAGGAGGGAACCAGTTTTTCTTCTCAAAGGATTTTTTTTTTTTTTGGCTTTTTGGGTTACTCTTGGCTCTGCACTCATAAATTACCCCTGGCGGTGCTCAGGGGACCATATGGGATGCTGGGAATCAAACCCGGGTTGGCTGCGTGCAAGGCAAACGCCCTACTCGCTGTGCTATTGCTTCAACCCTTCTCACAGGATCTTAATGGAAAGAGCACCTCAAAATTATAAGCTTAATTCTCTCACTTTTTAAAACATTGTCGCCTATGGAAATTAGCTCTGTGAGTCTCAGATTCATGGTTAAGAGGAAGATACATTTCTTGACTGACAAACTGTTAACTGAAATGTCTGACAGATAAAGGGAACTCAAAGGAAGTTAGTTTTTTTCCTTTCCTTTTGCTTTCCTGCTGCTCAGAAATGACTTAGCAGACCACCATGTCCCATCAAGCTATTTGTGAAGACGGCTATGTGATTTCTGGGGAAAAAAGGGTGGTAGCATTCTTTAGTTACATTTACATCTATTCACTCACTTCTTTCTAGCAGATCATTTTTATCCTAAGTTATTTTGCCTTGAATATGCATTATTTCATCCTTGATGCCACTGTATTACTCTTTAACACTTGTTTGTTTATTCAAAGATTATATTTTCTTTCATTACCACTACTAAATCATGATAATTAAGTTAGTAAATTGTTTATCTGATAAAGTTAATTTTAATACCTGTGATATTTGAGAAATTAATTTTTTCTTTGATTTGTAAATAGCCTATTATTTTCTTTTTTTTTTAGCACCAATAATTAGACATAAGTTCAGGGAGTATATGTATATGTGGGGTTTTACTTTGTCCTTGTTTTCCTCAGTTCTTTACAGCTTTTTGGAGAGAAATGTTATGGTGGTCTTTCATTTTGGTAAACTTGTGTTGAGTGTTATAAGTTTTCCCGCATATATAAAAGCTCAAAATTGTTCATTAGAGAAAAAGTATTTAATTGAAATCCCTTTTCAGCTTCTACTCAGGCCTGTCTCTAATGGAAATGCCAAGGATGTTAAAAAGTTTTTGGTAACTGGTAACAAAGACCCTTTCATTACCCAAGGAAATAATGAAGACCAGGGGAATGGCTCTTCTGAAACAAAGCCTATGGTTTCCATTTCTAGCACTCAACTTGTATATGTAGTTGCGGACGTGGACAGACTTCAGGAACAGGTAAGCATGTGTCCTAAAAGAATTCAAAGTGTAGTGTTTTCATTAAAAAGTTATTTGTGCAAAGACAAGATGCCATCTTGTTCCATAGGGCTTAGAATTGTGGGCCCCAAGAGCACCTTGAGAGGCCAGAGATAGCTTAATGGGTTGAATGCATGCTTTGCCTGCAGGAAACATGAATTTGTTTCCTAGTAAAAGATGGTCTAACAGTACTGCCAGAAGTAATCCTGAGCACAGCAGGGTATGCTCCAAAACAAACTAAGATGAAAAAGTGTACCTTGAGAGAGAACATCTTATTATTCCCCATTAAAGTATTTTTCCAACTTCTTGTTACACATGTAGTCTCATCCTTAGCTAGCATAGTATTGTATAAACCTGGAGCCTCTTTGTTGCGATGTGAGCAAGACTTGCCTTACTTTTTTCCTTAGTGTTCAACATGTGCTGTGCTGTGCAGGCATGAACTTTAGTGGGTTGGATTTTTTAATGATTTGTAATTTATTCTTTCTCTCTCTCTTTCTCGCACTCTCTCCTCTCTCCTCCTCTCTCTCTCTCTCTTTTCCCTCCCCTCCAACACACTCATGGGTATTCTGGGCATACTTCTGGTTTGCACTCAGGGATCACTCTGATGGGGCTTAGGGTACCTACCATATTGTGGTACCAGGGATTGAACCTAGGTTGGCTATGTGAAAACCAAGTGCCTTAATTACTCTGGACCCCATATTTTTGCTTTTACTAAGAGAATTTTGTGAATAGACATGTTTAAGGTTGCTGATAGAGTATTGTTTTTTAGTTTAAATATTTTGAAGTAATTGAACAAACAGTGTTGTATGTTTTGAGCAGAAACATCCTTATTTTGAGGGTTGGGTTTTATTGGTTTCATACACACACATACACACACACACACACACACACACACACACACACACACACGGGAAAGCCACAGAATAATAAATGATTTTGCTTAGTCTCTGAGCCTATTAATAGCCATGAAATTGCTGTTTCCCAGATTATTGTATTCTTATATTTTGAAAGTGTAATTAAGAATTTTTTTAATGATGAGAATTGCTGAAAGTTCTGAGTTTAAGTGCTTAGCAGTATTCTCAAATTGGTAGGTATAATAGAATTGCCTCTTCCTTTGCTTTATAAAAAATAACTGAATATTTAGTGCATATTTGTTTCAGCTACCACAACTCTTGGAAACAATCAAGCCAAAACTTGAAATGATTGGCTTGAAGAATCTTTCTTCTGTCTCAGGTAAAAATAAATCTTTGGACTCAGTAAATCCTTGAATAGAAAATAATTTAAAATATAATTTTAGACTACCATTTTCTTCTCTGGTTCTAAATCCTCTTGGTCCTGTCTATGATTATAACTTCTCTAAATGACATATTTTACTTCTAATGATTTGATTTGATTTGTTGCATTATTTAAAATAAAATGCATGTGTGAACCTAAATGGAGTGATTAAACACAGTTTTTATGTTTGAACAGCAGCCCTGGAGGACTCCAAGATGTCTTTGTCAGCCTGTATCTCTCCCCTGAGTAAAAGGATCATTCAAGGTTTAAGTGATTCTTGCTTCAGTTATCTAAAATGTGCTCTGGAGGTTCCCCGGCTTTACCGAAGAACCAATAAGGTTAGCACTGTTCCTTGAAAATAATTTTGAAGTGAGGAACTATGTGTTAGGGAAGTCCGAGAGTGGTTGCACCTTTGTCAGAAATGTTCCCAGAGGAGTAGCCTGAGGCCAGCTTAATTGTACCATTTTAAGAAATGGTATTTCTGAGAAGAGCACTCCACAAGAATATACTCAGAGACTCTGGGGAGTTGTTTATTGTTTAGTGTTTAGTGGGGGGTTCTTTTTTTTTTTTTTTTTTTGGAGGGGGCCAACTTAAGGGGACTTGAACTTCACTTGGTTGTATTCAGGGCTTAATTCCTGGGTTGTGCTAAGGTATCACTCCTGGCTGTGCTCACAAGACCATGTGTGATGCCCAGAATTGAACTGAGTTGGCTGCTTGCAGAGTAAGTACCTTACCCGCTGTACTATCTCTCTGGCTCACTTTTGGGCAAACAGAACTTAAGATAGTTGCACTCAATATTGTGGAGTTTTTATAAGATGAAAATACACTTGACTTCATACTGGTATTGAGTAAAATTATTCAGTATTTTATTTTTGTAGAATGGTGGTTTGGAGTACTTTTTTTTAACTACTGTTTTTGTTTTCCCTGTTGAATTTCACATTTTATTCTTGCTACATCTTAATTTTATAATTTTTTTTCCTAGTTGTCAAGTTGGATTTTAGGCAGTTTTCATAGTCTCTGAACTATGAAAAATTGTCTCCTAAGATACGGTGCTACTGTCAGAATATCCCTGGGGTTTCTACAAACATAGCTGTTTGCTAGCCAGCCTTTTCATTGTTTGCTAAAGTAAAGGCTTTGTCCACTCTGTTTTGCTCTATCCATCTAACAGATGTTCTCGATGCAGTGGGCAGCTTTTCACCATCAAACTGAGACTGAGCTAACTTTGTGACTTCTCTTTTTTTTTTTTTTCAAAATTTAGGACATGCAATAAAATTACCATTTCTCGAAATAATACTTCTTATCTTAGTCTGACTTTTAAGAGGGAGAATACCTATTTTATATTGTCATATACATTCTTCTTCTTTAGTAACTTACCAGCTTTAAGAGAATGTAATAATTTTTTGAAAGAGAGAAAATAATATTTTACCATTTACTTTGTGGTTCAGACACTGTAATAAATACCTTATATACTCTCTCATCAACCTACTACACTGTGTCCCTATTTGTAGGTGAAGAAACCTAAACTGAAAATGTTAAATGGCTCACTCTGTAGCCTAGCTGCTTAAATAGTGATTCAATTAGCATCACCTAGTGAAAGTCAATTTGTAAAGCAGTCTAAAAACTTACCATTTGAATACATTAAACAGACCCAGAAGGATCTTACGATGTGATTGGTATGAAACGTGAAATTATAGAAAAGAGAAACCTGACTCCAGTTGGGTTCTTACCAATTTGCCTTGATTCTCTTCTGTTTCCAAGTCTCTGTTGATAGATATCATTGATTTCTGTCTAATAGGATTGGAGGGATGGAAGCTATATATTTCTCAAAACTGGTACATTAGTAAATCATTTCAGTAACTTCCTCTCTTTTTTCCTGTGCATCTTTAACCCCTATCAATATTTTTCCAGGAGGTGCCAACCACAGCTTCCTCTTATGTGGACAGTGCTCTAAAGCCATTTTATCAGCTTCAGACAGAGTTCAAGAATAAGCTCAGACAGGAAATAATCCAGCAGTGGTTGGAAAGTGCTCTCTCCGAGAGTACACATAAGTAAGTATCTTTACTTAAAAATAGAATCTTTGGGACTTTCTTAAAAAGCCAAGTCAGGGATCACAGAGCATCACAGTATCATTAATTACTTATAGATAAGGTAGTAAAGGTATAAACAACTTTGTATCCTTTCTTCTCTCTTGGTTGAGCTATTTCCAGACACTGCCCCCTCCTGAGACTGTAGACTGCCTGCCTCTACCTGGACTGCAGGCACACACCATCACACATCTTTTGGGAACGTTTCAGTGGTTCCTGGATATATCTTAGTGCCAGAATGCGGTTTTTCAAAGATTGCAAGTAGTAAAACTGGAGCAAATGAAGGAATATTCTGTAACAATGTGGTAAATGTGATTTTGAGTGTTGGTTCAACTATTTCCCACCACAAGTGCACAAGTGGACATGAGGAACATACACTGTACTTGGAGCTGTTCTCTCTGAGTGTCCCGCCCGCATGGCAAGCTCCCCATGGCGTATTCGATATGCCAAAAACAGTAACAATAATGGGTCTCATTCCCCTGACCCTGAAAGCGCCTCCAATAAAGGGAGTGTTGGGAAAGATGAGTAAGGAGAGGCTGCTAAAACCTCAGGGCTGGGATGAATGGAGACGTTACTGGCGCCCACTCAAGTAAAGCAATGAACAATGGGATGACAGTGATGCAGTAATACCTTAGTGCCACTTCACTCAGATGTCATTCTACAAGTTCAGGCATAGCCTTTCTCTTAAAATCCTTTCTCTCCCCAGCTATTATAATCTGTTTAAAATGGCTCTAACCATGCCAAATATTAAAACACACACACACACACACACACACACACACACACACACACACTGCGGAGACCATTGTAATCAAGGAATAGAGAACATGCATTTTGAAGTGTAACTGCATGTGATAAAAGATCCATGTCTAAAACCCATAAAACACCAAAAAGTCTTCACAACCATTTGCTGATTGTGTCTTCACTTCTAGTTCAATACTTCTCCCCAAACTCCAAAATTAAAAAGTTACAACAAAAAGTGTATTATTCAAGGGACTGAAGGTATAATACAATGGGTGGGGTGCTTACCTTGCACATGACCAACCCGAGGTCTGTCCATGGTACCCCAATGGTCCCTTGAGCACTGCCAGGAGTAATTACTGAGTCTAGAGCTTCAGCATTGCTAGGTGTGGCCTAAAGCACCCCCCAAAAAGGGAGGGGTATTATTCATTTTTATTAAATTTGTTTAATTCTGTAATAGCCTGGCAAGCTCCCCATGACATATTCAATATTCAATATGCCAAAAACAGTAACAAGAAGTCTCACAATTTGTTGTGAGACATTACTGGTGCCCACTCAAGCAAATCGATGAACAACGGGAGAACAGTGCTACAGTCTTCTTTTAAAAAGTTACAAGTAAAGTAGTACTAATCTTTTAATTTAGAATATGACAATGAGTTATATTTTGTGAATATTACAGATGTCAATCAGCATGTAAAGTTTTTTTTTTCCCCTTTATTTTATTTTATTTTTTTTTTTACAGTTGTAAATTTACAATTTTTTGTGCTTTGGTTTCAATTATACAATGATCGGATACCCATCCCTCCACCAGTGCCCATTTTCCACCACCATGGATAATATCCCTCCCACCCCCATCCCCCCATCCCCCCTGTGTCTGTGGCAGGGCAATCCCCTGTGTTCTCTCTCTCCTTTTGGGTGTTGTGGTCTGCAAAAGAGGCATTGAGTGGCAAACATGTTCAGTCCATAGTCTACTTTCGACATGCATCTCCCCTCCTGGGAGGATCCTCCAAACATCCTTTATTTGGTGCTCCCTTCTCTATCTGAACTGCCCTTTCCTCTAGGATACCCGGCTGGCCTCTAAGTTATGGGGTAATCCTCCTGGTGCTGATCTCAGCTATTCTTGGGTATTAATCTCATACTTTGTTACTTTATATCCCCCAGATGAATGCAATCTTTCTAAAGCATGTAAAGTTTTAAAATATTTATAATTGAGGGCTGGAGAGATAGCACAGCGAGTAGGGTGTTTGCCTTGCACGCGGCCGACCTGGGTTTGATTCCCAGCATCCCATATGGTCCCCTGAGCACTGCCAGGAGTAACTCCTAAGTGCAGAGCCAGGAGTAACCCCTGTGAATCGCCAGGTGTGACCCCAAAAAGAAAAAATAAAATATTTATAATTAACTAATTATAAATTTAATATATAATACTTTGGGACTTATATTGGAAATGTTTTGAAAACAGGTTTTTTGTTTGTTTTGTTTTTGGCTCACAACTGGCTCTGTTCCTAGCCTTACTCCTAGCCTTTCACTCAGATCACTCCTGGCAGGGCTCTGGGGAGCTGGAGAATGAACCTGGGTTTGTCACAAACAAGGCAAGCTCCTTACCTGCTGTATTATCTCCCTAAAGACAAAATTTTATTTAAAATTTTGAAATGTGTTTCTCCTTTAAATGAGCTAATTACAAATTAAATTAATTGCATTTGCGTCTTGAAATACAAAAGAATGTTCACCCTTTTTACAGTAAAAACTTGTGTGTATACTTTTCTCAAAGTGTTTAGTGTTTCGGACTAAAATTTAAATCAAATCTGTGAATAGTATAAGGGCCTGACTCTGAGGAAGTGAAAAGCCTATTTTTCTTGTAATCTTAAGAAATATTAACTGTTTGCCATGAGTAACTTTTCGATTGGAAATAACTATCTTTAAAAAAACCTCTTGTTTTGGTGATTAGACAATTTAGCAGTTAGTCTGCTTGGTGTTATACAAAGATGTCTGTCTCACTAGTATATGTTTTACCCTCAAGGTACTATGAAACTATATCAGACGTTCTGAACTCTGTGAAGAAAATGGAGGAGAGCCTGAAAAGACTAAAGCAAGCCAGAAAGAACACTTCTGCCAACCCTACTGGTTCGGGTAGTAGTGGCATGAGTGATGATGACAAAATCAGGCTGCAGTTTGCCCTGGATGTTGAGTACTTAGGAGAGCAGGTATTCTTTGATCTACCCTAAGTCCCAGTGAATTAGAATCCTGATTCTATGGGCCTACTAGTCTGGGATTCACATTGATCCAAAAATGCAGTAGGGGCTAATAAGCCCATTCCTCAAGTATTTGAACAAAAAGGATCAGCTCCCAAAATATTTGCAAGGAAAGATTTTGTACCTAGGAATTTTGAGAAAATGAATCATATTTATTTTCTCATGATTAATTTATATAAGAATAAAAATTAACTTTCTGAAGTCCAAAAAGTATAGTTCAGTTGACTTCTGCTTGAACCTCTGCCTGTGTTCTTGAAGCTTGCTGGAATGTAGCACATAGTTGGAGCTAATCATTTTCTGGTTCACTGTTTAGAACGTGCCTGATAATTGGTACCAAAGGACATTTAGAATAATTGTTACTCAACTTAGAATAACCAGGAAAACATTAGTCTACCATAATTTGTCAGTGTGACATCTAAAGTCATCTGAATACAGCTCTGCTGCTTACCTGCCTTAGTTTTGCAGGTTTTCAGATTTTTATAGACAACATTTATGGATATAGTCAACAGTTCTAGATGAATACGCACACACTGCTCACATGCACGCACACATGTGCTGTAACTTAGAGGCAGATAAGGACATAAGGGCCTTTCAAATCATGAGGATATGTGCGACATTTTAATTTTTAGACACTGACTCTCCAAGCTTTGACTTTTCTGGAGTGAAGAAAACTCTCAAGGAACAACTTTTTACTAGAGAAAAAGAAGTGAATTTATAGTTTTCATTAGAAGGTGCCCGGTTTTCTACATCACTGAGGACTTGATGATCATCAAATCTGTTTTCTCTCTGAAGTGAATTTAGAGATATACCAGAAGTTTATTCACAGGAGAAACTTATTCTTTTCTTTGATGGCTGAGGAGTTGAGGCCACATCCAGCAGTGCTCAGGAGACCATTCCGTGTTGGGATTAAAATAGGGTTGACTGAGTGTAAGGCAGGAACCTTTTTGTCAGTGGTCGGTTGGTTGGTTGGTTGTTTAGTTTTTCTTATTGAATCACCATGAGATACAGTTACAAAGTTTTCATGTTTGAGTTTCAGTCATACAATGATCAAACACTCATCCCGCCACCAGTGCACATTTTCCACCACCAGTGTCCCCAGTATCACTCCCTCCATCCCAACCTTTCCCCCATACTCTTTCTCAACTTTGGGGCATTATGGTTTGCAATACAGATAATGAGAGGCTGTCACATTTGGTCCTTTATCTACTTTCAGCACACATCTCCCATCCTGAACAATCCCTCCACCATTATTGACTTAGTGATCCCTTCTCTATTCCAGCTACCTTTCCCCCAGCTCATGAGGCAGGCTTCCAACTATGGAGTAGTCTTCCTGGCCTTTGTGTCTACTGTCCTTGGGTGTCAGTCTCACATCATGTTATTTTATATTCCACAAATGAGTGCAGTCCTTCTATGTCTGTCCCTCTCTTTCTGACTCATTTCACTTAGCATGATACTTTCCATGACCATCCACTTAGAAGCAAATTTCATCATGACTTCATCTTTCCGAACAGCTGCATAGTATTCCATTGTGTAGATATACCAAAGTTTCTTTAACCATCTGTTCTCGGGCACTCGGGTTGTTTCCAGATTGTGGCTATTGGGAACAGTGCTGCAACAGTGCAGCTGTCATTTCTACTGTGCTTTTTTTTGTACCCTCGGGATATATTCCCAGAAGTAGTATTCCATGTGGAAGCTCAATTTCTAGTTTTTGAAGGAATGTCCGTATTGTTTTCCAAAAAGACCGGACCAGTCAGCATCCACAGCAACAATGAAAGAGAGTCCCTTTCTCCCCACATCTGTGCCAGCACTGATTGTTCTTATTCTTTTTGATGTATGCCAGTCTCTGTGTTGTGAGATGATATCTCATTGTTGTTTTGATTTGCATCTCCCTGATGATTAGCAATGTAGAGCATTTTTTCTTGTGCCTTTTGGCCATTTGTGTTTCTTTTTTGAGGAAACTTCTGTTCATTTTTTCTCCCCATTTTTTTGATGGGGTTTTTTTCCTTGTACAATTCTACTAGTGTCTTGTATATCCTGGATATTAACCCCTTATCAGATTGGTATCAGTAAATATTTTTTCCCATTCTGTGGGTTCTTTCTGTATTTTGGTCATTGTTTTTCTTTTGAGATGCAGAAGCTTCTTCCCATTTATTTATGTTTGTTTTCACTTGCTTCATCAGTGGTTTTTCATCCTTAAAGATGCTTTTAGCTTCAACATCATGGAGGGTTCAAGGCAGGAGCCTTAAGCCAAATATTCTAAGGAACTCTTATGTTCTTGGTATAGATCTTTTAGATCGTCCCTCTTTTTATGTAAGTGTTATAGTGTTTTCATTAATATTTCTCTTGTTAAACAGCAGTGATGTGCCATGTCTTGTTACCCAAATCATTCAAAGTAATTACATTGCCGAAGTTTTTGTTCATCAGAATCTAAGAGAAGGTTGTTGACAGGTAAAAAAAAAATTAAGAGGTCAGGTCAGTTCTTTTAAAAAAAAAATTCTATACTAAAATGGCTTGACTTATTATTTCTTGTACTATGAATTTTCTTTTCTTGTCCACAAAAGAGGCTCTAATCTAAAAGAGAATTAACTAATTCTCTTTTAGATTAGAGCCTCTTTTGATCACGGTTGACATGATGGACTGAGATAAATTAATATACTGATTTCTTAGAATGTTAGAATTTTTTTACTCCAAAAGTAAAAGTTTACAATAAGTTAATCCTCTGTGATAATGGATTTATGGAGCTGTCTTTTCAGTAGATGGTGAGGGTAGATTTATTTTTTTTAATTTTACGAAGGTTCCTTTTTCACATTCAGCTGAGACCAATAAAAACTTATTCTCCTGGCCTTTGCAGATACAAAAGATGGGGCTGCAAACAAAAGACATCAGAAGTTTTCCAGCCCTTGCAGAGCTTGTTATTGCTGCCAAGGACCATGCAACAGCAGAGCATTCATAGGCATCTTGGAAGAGCCCAAACAAAGAGGAAAGTTGATCGTGTCTTCTTCCCAAGCTTCTGTGGCAAAGAAGTGCTTCCATCCTGTCTCTAGCAACATGCCAGCGCAGCACCTCTCAGTGTATTTGGGACTTCTTTCACCCAGATAAAAACACAAGGCCTTTTTCCATTGTATGGAAGATTGTTTTTAAGACATTTGAAACTTTCTACTATAATTTACAAAACAAATTATTTTATTTTTATTGTAAATCTTAGTGAGAAAGAGCTGATTTCTAAAATATGATTAAAGTAAATATAAAATATTTACAGCATATAAAAATATATGGGACTATAAAGACTTTCTCCCTAATCTTACAGTTGGAAGCGAATAACTGTGGTGTGTATTATATGGAAACTTCCTTCCCTAAGATGAAAATTCTGTTATATTCCAAGGAGCTATAAATGGTGCTTCTCTATTCTCTCAGTGGGTATATAAGAACTGTATTTCTGATTGGTGTTCATCACCCAACCCTCTTGTCAGGAGCTAAAACCAGTATGGAAAGATTTATTTTCTAAATTTAAAAGAAAGCATCTGCCAAAAGCATATGTTCCTTTTGTTTGTGACAGTGGAACAAGTTAAATACTTCTTCTCATAACCTTTGATGAGATGGCACGTGTCCCTGTAGGTAGTGCTTCTCTGTTCTAACTCTTGGCAAGGTATTGTCCATTCACTGCACTTTCCTGTAGTGGGTGGGAGAGAGTAGGGGTCGGGGGGGGGGGAGGTAGAGGGAAAGTGTGTGTGTGTGGGGTGGGGGGGGAGCTTTGTTCCATAGCCTTCTTGTGGAATCAGAAGGTTCCTTTCTGCCTACCAGTCTAATCCCAGATGGAAGAAATGAAGACACGTGAGCTACAGAGATGGTTTGGCCCTGCACCCTGAGGATGAGCACGTTGTATGGCTCCACCTCAATATCACACACATTGAGAGAGATAGTACAGCAGTTACGAATCTTGCCTTCCACACCACTAACCCAGGTTTGATCTCCAAGCACCAACAGAAGGAACCCCTGAACAGAGAGTCAGGAGTGATACTGATTGCACACACCTGATACTGCCAAGTGTGGCCCCAAAATAAACACACACACTCACACTGGCTCACACTCCAGCCTCCCCAGGTTTACCCTATACTTATGACCAAGCTACTCCTGCTGGTCTATCCTCCCTCAATAGACTGAAAGTGGTGTTCCATCTCCCTGGCTGCTCAGGTGGGACTTAAAACGAGTCCTGTCATGGTAGGGCTGGAGCAATAGCACAGTGGTTAGGGCATTTGCCTTGCATGCGGCCGACCTGGGTTTGAGTCCCAGCATCCCATATGGTCCCCTGAGCACTGCCAGGAATAATTCCTGAGTGCAGAACCAGGAGTAACCCCTGAGTATCGCTGGGTGTGACCCAAAAAGCAAAACAAACAAAAACAGGTCATGGTAATTCCAACTCCCAGATTATTAAATGTTAGGCAATTATTACTAAAATAAGTTTGGGGTAGAGAGGTCTTGTATTGGAATCCAAGTTGTGGATTTCTTCAATACCTTTCAAACCGCAGGCTCAACCTGGATTTAATAATGCAACATTTCCAAACTTGTTTCCACGGTTGGTAACATCCTTGGTGTCTTATATTGATTTCTAGGTTTAGAAATAACCTTTAGGTTAAAAACAAAAACAGAAAAAGTTTCAGAACATTTATCCTTTGTTTCCACAGAATATCTCCTTTAATCATATCTGTTTTGTTAGCCTTGCTTTGGAGAATCATCATAGAATGGAATTGAAAGAAAAGGTCTTTTTTTTTTTATTGGGTCGCTGTGAGATAGACCATTACAAAGCTGTTTATGATTGGGTTTCAGTCATACAATGTTCCAACACCTATTCCTCACCAATTCGTACATTTCCTACCACCAATGTCCCCCCCCCCCCATCACCCTCCACCTACCCCACAACCCACCTCAACTTGCCTCTATGGCAAGCACTTTCCTTCTTTATCTCTCTCTCCTTTTGTGCATTATGGTAGTAAGCGGCCATCATGTTTGTTCGGGAGCTCAGTGTTTTTTATTGGGAAGGTACAGCTCAAGTAGCCTTTTTAACTGGGTAGCAGCTTTGGGGTGTGGATGTGACTGCCGGCCCTTCCAGAAATACAGGGAGATGGGGGGAAGTAGCCCATCCCAACTCTGAGAAAGCCTGGAGATTTCAGTCACAAAAATCCACACTTTTCAGATTAGTAACTCAGTGAAGTCCCTCCCAAGGAGGTCGAGTCCTGGCCAGGGCATAGCAACAATTTTGGATTGTGAGAGCAAGCAGCTGCCAGGGGCTCTGTTTGGGCAGGCACTGTGCTAACCAGCCTCCCCCTCCAGTGTGCCCCAGCTTATTCAGTTATGCACGGTCCAAGATTTACTGCAGCTTTTGATCTTTTTCTAAATCTAGATTTATGGGTCTCTGGAGCAAGGCTAGTAGAGGAGCTTACATGGTGGCACTGGAGCTGGTTCATGTGGGTGACTGCCAGGGCTTCCAGATATATAGGGAAGTGGAGGGAGGTAGGCCATCTGAACTCAGAAGAAGCCTGGAGATTTCAGTCACAAAATCTGCATACCCAAATTTTCAGCAGTTTAATTTCTTAGGTTGTTAGGTCCTCGTTAGGTCCTTCTCGAGACTATGGGGTTAACTAGTGACATGGCAGAAATTTTGAATTGTGGGAGCAACTGGCTGCCTGGGGCTCTGTTTAGGTGGACACTGCACTAACCCGCCCCCCTCAAATGTACCCTAGATTATTCAGCTATGTCTGGGGTCTAAGTATATTTACTATGTCTCTTTGCTCTCTTTCAAGGTTTATTTATGAATCTCTGGAACAAAGCCAATTAAAGAGCTTGTACAACAGAGCCAGAGGTGGCTTGTGGCTTTGGCTCCCACATAACCTAAATTTGGGTGGTTTAATTTCCTGGGGGCCTGGAGCAATAGCACAGCGGGTAGGGCGTTTGCCTTGCACGTGGCTGGTCAGCCAACCTGAGTTCGATTCCTCCACCCCTCGGAGAGCCCAGCAAGCTACCGAGAGTATCTCGCCCACACAGCAAAAGCCTGGCAAGCTCAGGTAGCTTATTCGATATGCCAAAAACATGAGATGTTACTGGTGCCCGCTTGAGCAAATTGATGAACAATGGGAGGACAGTGCTACAGTGCTAATTTCCTGGGAAACTTGGTCCCAAGTTGTTGGAATCCAGCCAGAGGCATAGCAAGGAGTTTGAAGACCGAAGGCACAATCAGGCTGCTTATGCTCTCGCCCCACAGGTCTAGAATGGCTCACTGGCAGCACTGCACTCTCTGGGCCCGAGTGGTGATGGCAGCAGCTGCACTGGACTAGATCAGGAACAGAACCAGGGCAGCTACTGTGTACAGCTTGAGAGCTCCTGGTGGTCCAACACGACCATCCCAAAGATCCTCACCAGGGGGCACTCACCCACATCTTCAGGCAGTTGGTGTTCAGGGAGATTTTCCTCCATAGCTTGCTGCAGGTTGCACCAGCAGCAAGGGCTGATCCAGGCGAGCTGGGGTGGCTGGGAGGCCCTGCCTGTGGCAGTGAGTCACCGCCGCCATCCACGTCACCGCATCTGCCCAAGTCGGTCCCTTCGGATGCCCCTTCAGTTTCTGGAAACTCTGCTCCTTGTGGTGCAGGTTGAACCCAGTGAACTCGGTACATGCACGCAAAAATTCTGCCACTGCGGCAGCCCACTGCCCATGGCACTGAGAGCTTTGGTGCCCATGGCCACATTGTTGCCATCTTCACAAGTCCCCAGCCTGCTCTCCATGGACTCCAAGTTGGTCTCACATTTACATTCTCTCTTTTTGAAATAGAATATTTAAAGGGCACTTACATTCATTCACATAGAAATTTTATGACCCCATGGGTCAGTTTTTCAGAGCTCTGAGAGCTGCCATCAATCAGCCCACACTGGTGCCTGCCGCTGCACCGCCACCATCTTGGGAATTCTGGTTAGTACTTTTTTTAAAAAGTTAGAATGCTCTTGTGGCTAGAGCAATACCACAGCGGGTAGTGCATTTGCCTTGCACGCAGCAGACCCAGGTTCGATTCCCAGCATCCCATATGGTCCCCCGAGCACCGCCAGGAGAGATTCCTGAGTGCATGAACCAGGAGTAAGTCCTGTGCATCGCTGGGTGTGACCCAAAAAAGAAAAAAAAATAAAGTTAGAATGCTCTCTGTCTTTATAAAATAGGGTCCAAAACACAGTAGAGACAAGGGCTAGGAAAATTGCTTCATAGTTGGAAGCCTGCCTCATGAACTGTGGGAGAAGGCATCTGGGATAGAGCAGGGATCCCTAAGTCAATGATGATTGGAGAGATTGCTCGGGATGGGAGATGTGTGCTGAAAGTAGATAAAGTACCAAATATGATGGCCTCTCAATATCTGTACTGCAAACGCAATGCCCAAAAGTAGAGTAAGAAGGAAATTGCTGGGGCTGGGTAGGGTGTTTGCCTTGCATGCAGCCAACCCAGGTTCGAATCCCAGCATCCCATATGGTCCCCTGAGCACCGCCAGGGGTAATTCCTGAGTGCAGAGCCAGGAGTAACCCCTGAGCATCAACAGGTGTGACCCAAAAAGCAAAAAAAAAAAAAAAAAAAAGGAAATTGCATAGAGGCAGGGGGAGGGGTGGGATAAGGGGGAGGGGATACGGGGGACATTGGTGGTAGAAAATGTACAGTGGTAGAGGGAATGGGTATTTGATTATAATATGAGATTGAAACTCAAACATGAAAGTTTTATAACTGTATCTCATGGTGATTCAATTTAAAAAAGTGTGTGTGTGTGGGGGGGGGGGGGACGGGGAGGGTCTGAAACAAAGGTGTCAACTTTTTTTCTGCTAATGTAATGTAATGGTGCCAGGAACGCAAGTGAACTATCTGTGGAGGGACAGGCCCTCTGGGCAGCAGGGGAATGGACCAGCTGTAAGTCTTCCATTTTCATCCACGCCAACTGTAAATTTGCCAACTCTAGACTGTGATTTCCTGCCTCACAGGACTGACCTCTGTGTTCATTTCCTAGGGCTATTGTAACAAGTTTCCACAGATGGAATGACTTAATTTTGCTTCTCACAGATTTGAAAGCCAAAGTCCAAAATGAGAGTGTTAGTAGGAAGGACCATGCTTCCCCGAATGGCTCTGAGAACCTTCCCTTGCCTATGCAGCTTCTTGTAGCTGAAGATATCCCTTGGCTTATGTTGTTATAATACTTTTTTTTTCTGTCTTCGTTTTCACATGATTCTCTTATTTGTGTCTTTGCTCTATCTTATTTGATAAAAAAAAAATCATTGGATTTAGGTCCTATCTAATTTTTCTGAGAGTATCTCATCTTGAGATCCCTAACTTAATTATATCTACAAAGATTCTTTTGCCAAGTAAGGTCATATACAGGTACTAGGGAGTAGGATGTGAACAAAGCCTTTTCGGGATCTTCATTCTATCTACTATCCTCCAATATAGCCAACCAGAAAAGT